TAAGTCTCTGCTGTGGGGTGGCCAGGCCCCTTTTGCATGTACCTTTCTTTCCAGGGTCAACCAGAGGCAAAGCCAGATCTGGGGCCTCTCGGCTGACAAATGTTTGTTGCCTCTGCCACAGAAGAGAGAAGGAGAAAGAAGGAGAAAGAAGGCAAAAGAAACAAAGAGATCACACATTGGAAGTGGTGGACTTTTTAAAAAACCTACCTTTGCCTCCAGGGTTTCTGGGCTACTGTCATCCCGGCTTTTTAAAACGTGACTCATTTTCCCCCCTTCTCCTATTTAAGACCTGAAGAAGTTTTTCCTTCACGGTTCTCCCAGGGAAAGAAAAGGGGGAATGTTTTGTTTAAGAGAAAAGGGGTTACAGGACAGAAAAAAAGAAAAGAAAAGAAAGAAAGAGAAAAAGCCATTGTTTTCATCCTTAATTTATAATCCAAGAGGCCCCATTGTTTCTTTCTTTCTGACTCAAATCTTTGAGCTGTTAATTATAAAAGTAACTGGACGCAGCTCCAACAGGCGAACTATGTTCATGCGCAGCAATTAGAAAAACTCTGTAGAAAGTTTACTGAGTGATTATATATAATTAATTCCTAGTTACAGACAGAACACTGACCATTTTCTGGAGCTAATAAAAGCAGTTACTCCCCCTCCCCCACGTGAATGCCACTTAATTTCCCAAAGCAGAAAAGTGAATCCATCCTGGAGGGTCTTGAAGGAAAAAAAAAAGAGAGAGAGAGAAAAGAATCAAAAGCTCCAGTGTTGTCTGTCTGTTCCTTGCAGCTGTGATGCATCCTCTTTAGGGACTGAGGAGGCAGAAGGAAAACAGGAAAGAGCCCAAGTTCCGTGCCTCCCTATGAAATTTATAACTGGGGCAGAAGATCACTCTACCTTGATGTAAAAAAGAAAAAGGGGGTCGTGGGGGGTGGGCAGTGGGCGGTGGGGTGGGAATGCCCCGGGACTGGAATGTAGGAAACTCTTCAGCTTGGCAGCGAGGCTTCTCCTAAAAGGAACAAAGATGGTAGAAACTTCCAGAAGGCCCCTTCTCAGTCTGGCCACTCCAATTGTCAATCTGTAACCTTTTCTCCAAGTCTATTGGTTCAAAGGCTGGAGAGAGGAGCCCCATTGGGCTGCTCTGAAAGCCAGCACTGCTGTCCCTACCTAGCCCTGCTGCAATGCAAACTCCCCCCCCCCTACCTTAGTGAAACTGGGAAATAAGTTACTTTGGAAGCAATTAACTTTTTACAGACTCGTGCTTGGTGGTGGCCACAGTACCAGAGGAAAGAGGCCAGCTTGGTCCAGGGCTGGGAACTTGCTGGGACTGCACATATGAAAACAGACCTTGGCTTTGCAAACCTGTGGGAGCCATTTTAATGCAAGCTTTTAAAGGACAAATGCCTTGCCCTTAGGTTTCCTTCCAGCCCAACAAACACACCATTATGCAAACGTTGAAGGCACCAAACCAGGAGTCTTGTGATTAGATACTGCTTCTAGGGAGGCCACAAGAACCTCAATATGTAATTTCCATTTACAGCCAGGAGATAAGAACAAAGAAAATAGCTAAGTGTCTGGACTGACTTGTGTGGGGTAGTAGCACTGTTCAGTTTTAAGTACACAACATCATTAACAGCCTGCACTTCTTAACTCGAAAAGCTGGCCTCGCACTGACTTTTCTTAACTCAGAACTGGTACATTTCTCGTTATTAAATGAGCCTTTTTCCTACTGATGCTAAAAGGTGGATGCCTGGACACTAACTTAACGGAAAACAGATTACTGACTCCATAAAGTTGGAATAACACAACAATTGAATATATTTCCAACATTTACAGTCATGCTAGATTGGTCTCCAGGCTGGAAATTTATGCAGTGAACTTCTGGGCAAATTCCGAAGCTAACGCTAAACAAGCGTCTACTTTCTTTTCCCTACTCGTAAGTTCTAGCTACAGCATTAAGAGATCAGGGGAAGTGTAAAAAGTGAGAAATAAATCATAAGTAAAGGCAAGCGTGCATACAGATGTGTGGGTCAGGCTTGGGAAAAGGCCAAATCTGTTGTACAAGCAGTCCCAAAGCAAACCAAGTTTGGTGGTGGGTGGGATTTTACACTACAAGTACCCTAAAAGGAGTGCTGACATCCCCGCCCCCACACACCACCACCACTACCAGGTTCTGCCCTCACCCATGTTTCAGGCTCTGTGACACTAAGAACAAGCACTGTCGTTACATTTCACAAGCAGATCACCTACCCAGAGTTCTAGCTAACATCCACACAATCCCAATTAAAGGTCTCCAGTCAAGTCACAATGAACTGAACATTTCTCCCCTGTCTGAGGGTAAACAGGAAGTGTGATCTTCAATCCTAGCAGCAGGTTATCAGGAAAAACAGTGGATTCAAACAGTCACCTAAAATCAAGACACTATTAAAAAGCCCTTATTTGGTTCCTGCTAATGAAACCCCCCCCACCACCACCACCAATTGCTGTAGCCAAGACCCTCTGTTACAAACAGACCCCAAATGTCCGCCAAACTCTTTATACATGGTCACCGAGGAAATGGATTGCTTTACTTACCCAACAAATGTTCAAGCAACCGTCTCATTTTTCCACAGTTAAGAAGAGAGAACAGGCTGGCAGATTTGGGACTTGATCAAAAAGGAAATTTTTTTTAAAGTTACATGGGATTATTAAACACACACACACACACAACAACACAACCCAACAACTGAATATGGAATGCTGTCATGAGCCACAGATAGGATTTCATTTCCTCTGCGCTCCATCACCCAGGAGGACAGAGGAGGATACAATGTAAAAGAGGGAAAAGAAAATGAAAACAAGGAGAAAAGATGCATTAGTTCATTGAAAATCATGCAAGAGTAGAAAGCTGAGGAATTCAAAAAGAGTCCTCACAGATTTGTTGCAGGATGTTGTCCAACCTCCCTCCCCCTCTACACACAGCCCCCCAACCCCCATCCCCATCCCTACTCCAAAAACTTCCTCCAAAGCCTAGAAAACACTTTCAGGAACATTTGCTGGCTGTAGGCTGGCTTGCAGAAGAACACTCTGTATCAACAGAAGTCAGGAAAAAAGGCTGAACAATGTAGTTTCAAGTACAGCAGCCCTACAGGGAGAAGAGACCATGAAGACACACCATCACCCACCTAGGCCCCAGGAGCCAGGATCTCTCCTTAGCACTGCTCTGCTGAGGGCTTGGTTCTTTTTAAAACACACGTCCTCTCTTGTCAGAACTTACTCCAGCCTTCCCAGAACCTCTTTGGAGAGGTAAACTTGCCTGCTTTGCTGTCTGCCATGAGCTCTCCTTGGAGAGGAGCCTGCTTGCTTACCTTCCATTTTCTTCCCCCAGCAGGCATGTGACACAGGAGAAGACAATAGTGCAGGGGGGGGTGGGGGAGAACTGCTGAGAGAGAGAGACAGAGACAGAGACAGAGAAAGAAAGAGAGAGAGAGAGAGAAGAGGAAAGGGGGAAAAAAAAAAAAAAAGCTTCTTTTTTGGCATTCCAGGATCTAGCTTCAAACTATTCCAGAAACACCCTGTCCTGGTGAAGAAAAGGTGTGCCAGGCCTTTGCTAGTTTGCAAAATCAAGCTATGGCTAATGGCTACTTAGCCATGTGACCCAAGAAAGCAAAAAAATTCTCTCTAAACAGTTCCAAGTTAACCTAAGTGCTGTGGGGGTGAGTGTGGCACGGCCAGCCACAGAGAAATCACACTGCTCGCCCACAATTCGGATGTCTCAGAGGGAGGGGGAGAAAAGATGGTTAAAAAGTCGAGCTTACCTCTGTGGATGCATTGTTAACACTGTGTAATGTCAATACTTATAAAACATGGAGGACAGGCTCCTAGTTCTCACAGAAAAAGGGTTTGGCACTTCGGCTTGATGATCTGGCCGCCTAATAAAAGCTCATCCCCGATTGGCTGCCCCGGCAAATCGGAGTGTAAGGCCGCCCGGGATTGGCTGAAACACTTCCTGAGCGATTATCTTTGTGAGGCTCTGGTGAGCAAGAGCCATCCTGTGCATAGAAAAAGACAGGCTAAGCTAGGCCTTTTGCTGCAAGAAAAACTTGGGAAAGGGGCCCCCAGACGCACTTCTCCCACACCCTGGCTCGATTTCCCGGCACGGGCAAACCAGTGCAGCCAGCCTGACCTGCTCCAGCAAAGCCTGAGGCCCGGATGCCACTGGGAAGGGAGTTTTTGGGGTGAGCTGAAAGGGCTCACCCTCACCTGCCCCCACAGAAGCGGCTCTTGGCTGGGAGGAAGCCTGGCCCTTTTCTAGAACAATCCAGCAGAGTGGTTCTCCCCCGGAAGGGGGGGGGAGGGGTGGGGGAGGGCAGAGGGAAGCGGAGGAGTGGGGAGCCCCAGGAAAACAGCCAGCGGAGATTCAGAAAAAGGGGTTTGAGGCAGGCCTCTGAGGAGCTGAGGGAACACAGACAGGACAGCCGAGCCCCGGAAATCGCTGCAGGGCAGCCCTGGCTTCTCAGAGGAGAGGACTCAGGCTGCTGGGAAGAAGGGGGGGAGCAGAGTGGTCAAGTTTGCATAGTCATTGTCAGAACGCCTTCTGGAAAAGCAGGCCAGAGAGCCATTTGCCTGCGGAGAATCTAACTTCTCACCACCCCCCCTCACCCAGGACTCAAAGGAAAACCAAAATGGGTTCCTGCCTCCCTGCCAGGATGCCAATGGGGGCCCCCCTCTCCGTCCTTACCCTAAGAAAAGCCAAATGCGCTCCTAGCAGGCCACATGCCTAGATCTACAAACTTCCCTTCCCCTCCCGGCCCCCTCCCCCACCACTGAGGCCTGCTAAACCTGTCAGTTAAACAAAAATCTGACTTCCGTATTAGTCTGCAATGCCTTCAGCTTCCTGCCTATTAACCCTCTCTCGGACTCTGGGCCTGGCTGGGAAAAACTAGGCCCTGAGATCGCAAAAAAGGCCTGTGGAAAAATACCAGCTGCAGCTCTCCCGGCAGATGCAGAAAGAGAGAGAGAGAGTGAGCCGCTGTCTCTCGCCTTTGCTTCCCAAGGAGGCGTGTACCTTCTGAATCCAGGGCACAGGCAGTGCCTCTCGGTCTGAGAAGCCATTTAAATCCAGAGGGAGAAAGAAAGATGTCAAGCCCAGCGAGGGAACAAGAACCCCCATTATTAGCTAGGCCTACACCCTCAGCTTAGTCCTTCCTGCCACAATCATCCCTGTATGTATGTTCTTGGGGAACTGGGCCCTCGGTGGGCAGACAAATCCCATGAGCTTTATAAGGATTCTTGCTTAAATTTATTTCCACAGAGAACGGCTTCTTTTCGTCCCCTAAGGCAGATGGAATAGCGACTTCACACACAGACCTACTCTTGGCAGCCCCCACCCCCATCTCTGGCACTGCTCCCCAGTAAAATATTAACTAGTTTTTCAGAGCTACTTATAATTCCACCCATTTCAATAGTATTAGGAGGTCTTTGCCTGTTCCTCCCAAAAGCTGCCTTTGTAGTTGGTCTGTACCCTGAGAAAGAAAAGGCAAATGCAGAAGGATCTTGAAATGTCCATGCTTGCTTGCTTGCTTTTTTTTTCCCCCCTCAAAGACAAGGTGCTTAATTAACAAGATTTTTTTTTTTTTTTTTAAACAGCAAGCTAGAACAACAGAAGCTAAATAAACACCATTCTTCAGAGGCTGGAGAAAGCTTCCAGAGGTGATGCCGCCATATGCCAGGAGGTAAAACTATGGCCCAATAAAGTCTCCCCTCTCCTCCTAAAATTAGGACTCGTGGGCTTTCTGGTCCCACACCGTTCGTTCCCACAAAGAAAACGTAGCGCTGATCGCCTGCTCTCCCTGCCCCCCCCCCCCCCCCCACATGGACAACAGATGCCCACCTCGTGCACATAAATTCTTCCTGGCTGGGAATCTTCTATCAAACAAGAACAAGCCAGGAATCCACACAGAACGTACCGCAGGGGCAGGGCCCAGCTTTATGAAAAGGAAGGGGATTTTGTTGCTGTTATGTACTGGAAGAGGCCCAGATGCAGGGAGGGACACCTCCATCACCAGGCCTGACAAGGGTCCAGCACTCGGGACAACAGGCCTGGGCCTCACTAGAAGGGAGGGGCCCCCTCTTCCTGCGGGTGGAACCGAGTACAGGGACACCAAGTCAGGGACAAGAGGTGGAGGCCGGAGCTAATCAGACGGTGCTGTTGTGCTGTCCCTCCTGGCGGCGTGGGCAGCAGCCCTCCCCCACCATCCCCTAGGGAACACTGTCTACCTCTGCGTGTGCAGCTTTTGGGGGAATAGACGTGTCTCTGAGTCTGTGGCAGATCTCGTGTGCCACCAGCTTCACGACCCAATGAGGAAATGAAATACGCCACTGGTGCTCGTGGTGGATTTTAACCCGGGATTAAAGCTTGTTGCATAAGCAGCTGCAGCGTCCTGCTCGCTTCCCCCACCCCCCTCTGATCACTTGATCACTTGAAATGTTTTCTGGGGCAAAGAGCAGGAAGCAGCGACGTACTCTGGCAGCTCTGCTCTGTCTGAGGAATGCTATTGGCATTCGGGTAGGTCTGAGGTTATCAGAAAGACAGCGATTGGGCTGGGGACAGAGACAAAGGTATGGTGGCAGATGGAATCCTGGGAGGGACAGGGATTGAAAAGGAAGCCTGGGGCAGGCCTACTAAGGGCCAATCCTGTGCTTGATGGAATGTGGCTGATAGGCCAGAAATAAACCAGTGTTGCCAGCCTCCATCCAGAGATCATTCTGTGGCCCTTCTCAAACACCCCCCTGCTCAAAGTAGCCCCAACAGCCCCAGCATGCTTGCCCTGGGACCGGTACAGTGCAAAAATCATCACTTTGCACTGATGACTCCATGAGGTACGGAGTATTGTTGGAGATTTGCAACCCAGCCCAGAGAGGTGAAGTGAGAAGCACAAGGTCACACAGCTGGCAGGTGCCCAAGACCAGATTTCCAACCCAGTTAGGACTCCACAGCCCTAAACTCGGTACCTTCACCTTCCTCTAAGGAAAAGGAGAGAAGAGAAGCTAAGCCAAGCAGAGCAGAAACAAAGCTAAAATCTACCCAAGAACAGCAGGATCTGAGTCTTCTTTGAGGAAATGGACTCCTTTGAGATTAAGTTTTTTTAAGTACTGAATGATGGAGCTGGGAGACCTTCAGCTCAGACTCATTTAAGGCCCAGAGAAAGCTCCTCTCTCCCTGCAAGCCTCCAGCAAGATGTTAAGCACTCTGCCATCTCTAAAATGAGGTTTTTTATATTCCTGGAAATCAGTGGTTCTCAGCTAGGGGTGAGTTAGCCGCCCCCCCCCCCAGGGGATATGTGGCAATGTCTGGAGACTTGGGGGCTGTCACACTTGGGGGGAGAGGTGCTATTGGCATCTGGTGGGTTGAGAGCAGGGAACATTGTTAAACATCCTACAGCAAGGAAGACACCCCATGACAAGGAATTATGCTGTCCAAAATGTCCACAGTGCTGAGGTAGGGAAATTAATAAGCAATGAACTAATAAAAAGAGATTAAAAACATGTCTCTCTCAATATTCCCAGGGGATGGAGAGAATCAGGAGACAGAATCAGGCTTACGGAAGCCAGACGGAGTGTCTCAGTGATAAAGCTGGCCTCAAAGGAGAGGAAGGGCTGACCCGGCTCCCTTCCCCAGGCAACTTACTGCCGAGGAGGCCTCGCTGAAACAGCTCTCCACTCCCGCTGGCCTGCAGCCAGCCGAGCAGCGGGAGGAACAGCGTCGGCAAGCTGCATCCCGAAGATAGCCTGCTCCCGGACTAGGAAAATAAGCACACTCCGAGTTATCTGCCTCGAGCTAGCAGCAGGCCGCCCGACCGTTATGTGAAACGGGCGGGACTGAGGCAAGGAAGTGTTTTAAATATCTTGTTTTGTTTTGTTATTTTTTGGCCAATTGGAACCGAGGCCGGCTTCAGGCATGGTGACAGAAGGGCTCACCTTCAGAGCATGGAACTGACCCAGTCATGTTATAGCCACAAAGACGTAATTAGGACTTGTCCCTACCTTGGAGAAGAGGTGCCCTCCGGAAGGCTTTTTTTTTTTTTTTTTTAAACTTCTTCCTAGGAGGGGCTGGTTGGTAGGATCCAAAAAGTGGAGGGAGGAGGAAAGGGCAGGTGGAGAGGAGGGGAGGGGTGCGGGGTGCATGACCATCAGGCAGATGGCCGCGGTGCGGGTGCGGATGCGGAGAGACTTAAGGGATGCAGGAAGAAAAGGAGAATCAGAAGGACGATGATTCAGGACCTCCCCTGACCTGCTCTTTTTGTCCCCAGCAATTACCGTTATGGAAAGAGGAGCACGTGTTTATTTCCTATTTGTTTCTTTGTCCCACTAGACCAGTGGCAATGTCAGGAGACATTTTAGGCTGTCCCATCTGGAGGAAGGGGGCTGCTACTAGGATCTAGAGGGTCCTAAACACTCTACCAAACACAGGACAGCTCCCCCCCCACCCCCCATGACAGAGAACTAGCCAGCCCTGAGTATCACTGATGCCAAGGCTAAGAAAGCCTGCTGTAAACCGAGAGCTTTAGGAGGGCAGAGCCTGGTGTGAAATTCTTCACCTTTGTGCCCTACAAGTGGCAGAGCTCAATTAAACGCCACCTCCCACCTGGACGGGTGCACTGGTCTCCCACCTGAGCACCAGCTCCTGGTCTCCTACCTGAACAGGGGCAGGGGAGTTAGACTGGGAAGAAACTGGAGTATTTACACACATGCGCAGGCTGCAAGCAATCCTTTGCTAAGAAGTCAGACCTCATCCCTTCTCTGCTCAAAACCCATCAGTAGATCCCACCCAAGTGGTAAAAATGGCCCACCAGATCAGTGCCCTGCTCCTGATCGCTGACTCCACTGCGTTCTTCTCCGTTCCCAGGGCTCACTCTGCTCGCTCTCCCGCCACCCTGAGCCTCCTCCATCTGTTCTTTCCACCGCCTAACCATCCCCTCCCTCCTCCAGCCCTTCCCCGTTGCTCTCCTACTTCCCCTCCCCCAGACCATCTCCCCTGCTCCCCAAGCCACCTAATACAAGCCCTGTTTCCTCCTGGGCCTACACATCTCTGCCTTCCTGCCTTCTCCTCTGCCATCACCATGTCTTCCCCTCCCCACGCCCTCCCAGATGCCTCCCCCCGCCTCAGAGCCGTCTTCTTCCACGTTAACCTTTTCTCTTTCCACATCAAGCAGCAGAACCGTGCAGTGACTGAGTGCGTGGCTGCTGGCATCAGACTGTCTGATGTCTGGGTGTGGATCTTTCTGCCCCACTAGCCAGCTGCCCTGCCTGGCTTGAGGTACGGAATTCTCCGTGCCTTGATTTCCTCATCTGTACAATGGGAGCAATAATACCCACCCGTAAATTCACTGCATCAGGGTGGTCAAGCACGAGTCGCCACACAAGACACAGTGAGCACTCATGCAGTTGCTGTTCCCACGTCCCTCTGATTACTCTTAAAAAGGAAATTTCTGGAGGCTTCCAAGTCATTTTTCTACCTTTTCTCAACATCAAAATTTCCAAAGGAGGATAAGGGTAAATCCCACTGGCTGGCACGCTCCAAGCTTTGTGTCCGGTGCTATTCCAAGCACTTATCCTCCCAAACCTGCAAGATGGGCCCCATATATTCACCATATATTCATCAACCCATTTCCTTGATGAGGAAGCTGAGGAACTATCAATAGTCCCCTCCTACTAAGAAAACTTCTCAGGCGCCTGCGTGGCTCAGTCTGTTAAGCCTTGGCCTTCAGTTCGGGTGTGATCCCGGGGTCCTGGGATCAAGCCCCACATTGGGCTTCCTGTTCCACCTGGAACCTGCTTCTCCCTCTGTAGCTCCCCCTGCTTGTGCGCGCGCTCACTCGTGCTCTCTCTCTCAGTGTCAAATAAATAAAATCTTAAATAAATTAAGTATTTTAAAAAATCTTAAAAAGGGGCACCTGGGAGGCTCAGTCACTAAGCATCCGTCTTCGACTCAGGTAGAAGGGTCCTGGGAGCGAGCCCCACATCGGGCTCCCTGCTCAGCGGGAAGCCCTCTTCTCCCTCTCCCACTCCCCTTGCTTCTGTTTCCTCTCTCACTGTGTGTCTCTCTCTGTCAAATAAATAAATAAAATCTTTATTTAAAAATTTAAAAAAAAAAAAGGTTTGCTTATTATGTACTAGATTTCTTGGAAGCATACTTAAGAAATTGCTAACAGGGACGCCTGGGTGGCTTAGTTGGTTAAGCGGCTGCCTTCAGCTCAGGTCATGATCCCAGGGGCCTAGGATCGAGTCCCACATTGGGCTCCTTGCTGGGCAGGGAGCCTGCTTCTCCCTCTGCCTCTGCCTGCCTGTGCTCGCTCAATCTCTCTCTCTCTCTCTCTCTGACAAATAAATAAATAAAATCTTTGAAAAAAAGAAATTGCTAACACTTTGCATCCAAGGGGTACTGGGTGGGCAGGGGTCAGGAATGGGAAGATTTTTTTCTCTTATATACCTTTTGAATTTCAACCACATGAATGTATTACTTCTTCAAAAATAAATTAGTAAATGTAATATTGGGAAAGTTCCGGAAGACTATGACCTAGCCAAAGAAAGATTAGTGGGTGGCCCGGCCCATCCAGGTATCCCCATTGGGTCACCTGCACCTTTCATTGTTTCTGGGCTTTTTACAGCTCTGACACTGGCAGAAGGCTAATACTAATGCAAAGGCTCCCATCCACAGACATGCAAATTTAGTCCCTGAAATGCAATTGATTATTGGCTTGTGGATATTGGGGAGTCTTGCCAATTATTGAATCTATTCCTAAATTCATGTCAGCATTTCCTGTATGAGGCCGGCTTTGACTCCATCTTTGAATTAGCTGGATGGTCATACAAATGCCCTCATTAATAATGAGTTACATAGGGGCGCCTGGGTGGCTCAGTGGGTTAAGCCTCTGCCTTCGACTCAGGTCATGGTCTCAGGGTCCTGGGATCGAGCCCCGCATCCGGCTCTCTGCTCAGCAGGGAGCCTGCTTCCCTTCCTCTCTCTCTCTGCCTGCTTCTCTGCCTACTTGTGATCTCTGTCTGTCAAATAAAGAAATAAAATCTTAAAAAAAAAAAAAAAAAAAAAAATAATGAGTTACATAAAATACATAAAACGTGTTCATTTCATATCTGTATGCAGCTGGTTAAAATAAATTCTTTTGAACAGTAATATCTTTTAAAAGGAAAAAAAGTCCTCATTCACTTCCAAGAACCAACATCAACAGGCTGGTTAGTATCAGGTTCACTGTTCATCGATCTCCTGCTAACATCTGATGTCGGACACGTCAGAGGTTCCAAAATACTGCCCTGCCCAGCGACTGCACCTCCAAGTGCTGAAGCTTCTCTTCCTTCGGAATCTGCTCTCTCTTGGCCATCCGACTGTCTGTGTAGCCTCTAGAGCCAGCCTGTTGGGGGTGGGGCAGAGGTAAGGGTCCAAGCTTCCTCCCTAAGGAACTTTAGCAAGTGATTTTGCTTTTTTTGTGCCTCAGTTTCCAAGTCTGTGAAACGGGATCATCGTCCCTCCATCAGACAGTGTGGGGATGATTTAACACAGGCATGGAGTACCTGCTCAAGAAATGTTGGATGATTTTACTTTCCTTGAAACCATTTTGTCTAGTGCCACAACAGATTCCAAATCTAGTATCCGGGTCTGACCTCTTCCCTGAACCCCAAATCTCGTTTCTAACTCCTGGACCCGCATTTTCTCGCTGCTGATCAAGGCAGTCTACAAAGAGGTGTGGAGCACTTCCTCTACCTGGAAGCACCAAACTTACGTCCTTTGCTCCTGCTTTCAAGGAGCTGTAGGTTGAACAGAGGAGAGGTTACGTGCAATTAAACGAGTACATGAGTAAGAGGCAAAAGAGCCAGTTGAGATCGATGCTATGAAGAAAAACAAAACAGGGTGAGGGTAGAGAGAAGTGACTAGATAGGAAGTGGGAGGCGTCTGCTTTAGACAGGTAAGAAGGGCTCCAGAGAGGCTGTGACATTTGAGCTAAAGGCGGTAAGAACTTTCTTGGTGGTGGGAATAGCAGGTACAAAGGCCCTCAGGCAAGCCTGAGCTTGGTAACTTGGTTATTTCTGAGACACAAAAAAAGGCCAAGTGTGGCTGCCATGAAATGAGGTGCAGAGGAATTGAGCATGGAGGTAAAGTCAGGGACAAGGTCACCATTCCATCTGCAATCCTTCCACTACTCAGACTCAAAATATTCCAGAATGTTCTTTACCTTTCCATACCGCCCCTCTCCCCCCCCCTTTACATTTCCACGCACCTGCCAAACACTTCAAAACAAACGTTGGCTGCTATCAGTTTTCCTCCTGTTTCCTTAAAACCTTCAGCAATTCCCCACCAATTCATGCAACCCTGATCCCCTCCATCAGGACCTCTTCATCTGACTCCATACTTGACTCTCCCCCCTCATCTCCCTCTATTTTTCAGTGAAGCTGGAAAGTGTGTCCCAAGTAGGACCCACCATGATTCTTCCTCCATGTGTCACTTACTGGGATAACAGCCACCCTACAAACCCAGGTGGCACCTCCTGTCCAGTGTCTTTCCTGCTTTCTCAGACTCTTGACCTCCCACACCAGCAGAGCACATACCCCTCCCAGCCTATGGGGGGGGGCTTCTCAGCATGGGGGCTGCTGGGACCTCCCACTGAGCAAAGCAAACCCAACTTCTTCACTCCCTCAGCCTGACCCCTCCGCCGAGCTCCCCAGTTTGGTCCCCAGAATCAATCACCCCAAAAAGCCCTCTCAGTCCCAACCATGGGCCAGCCTCGGCGCTGGGCCTCAGTGTTTTCTGAAGGCGGCTCATCGGCTAGTCACCTAATCCCTTTGATGGGTGCCGCCTTCCCATTTATAAGACTGCTCCTGCCTGTCCCTAGCAGCTCCCAATCCTTCACCATAGAAATGCCTGGGAATTCTGCCCTGGTTCCCAGGAGTACTTGTTCTACCCTCCCCAGGGAATCACACACTGTTAAGTCAAGGCTTTGAATCCTGTTCTAACTGGTCTCCTGCCGGAGGGATCCGGTAACAAGACAGCACCTGCCTGTTCAAAGCCTTCCATGGGCCACCCTATTCATGATACATCTGAAAGGTGAAAACAAACCCATTGTCCATCAGTGGATAAATGCATCAACCAATGGC